GATTCTGTTGTTACCTCTTCCGAAGGCGATTCTGTTGTTACGTCTTGAGAAGGCAATTCTGTTGTTGCTTTTTCAGAAGGCGATTCTGTGTTTACGTGTTCAGAAGGCGATTCTGTTGTTGCTTCTTTAGAAGGCGATTCTGTTGCTACCTCTTTAGAAGGCGATTCTGTTGTTACGTCTTCAGAAGGCGATTCTGTTGTTGCTTCTTGAGATGGCGATTCTGTTGTTACCTCTTTAGAAGGTGATTCTTTTGTTGCTTCTTCAAAAGGCGATTCTGTTGTTGCTTCTTGAGAAGGCGATTCTGTTGTTACCTCTTCAGAAGGTGATTCTTTTGTTGCTTCTTCAGAAGGCAATTCTGTTGTTACCTGTCCAGAGGGCGATTGTGGTGTTATTTCTTTAGAAGGTGATTTTGTCGTTGCTTCTTTAGAAGGCGACTCTGTTGTTTTTTTTTCTGAAGGCGATGCTGTTGTTGCTTCTTCAGAAGGTGTTTGTGTTGTTGGTTCTTTTGAAGGTGATTCTGTGATTTCTTCTTTAGAAGGTGATTGTGTTGTTGCTTTTTCAGAAGACTTTTCAGTTGTTGCTTTCTCAGAAGGCGACTCAGTGGTTGGTTCTTCTTCAGACGCTGATTGCTTTGTCGTTCTCAATGGCGGTTCATTAGTTAAACTAGGAGTTGTCGGCTCTACGTCTATGATATCTATTATATCATCGTCGGTGCCTGGCGTAGTTGGGTCTACGTTATTTTCCACGTTGTCAAAAATGTCATCTGTGACTTTTTGAGCTAGTTTCGGTGGTGGTGTCTCACTCTCTACACTGGTTCCTATCGGTGTGGGAAGTAGGTTGTCCTTTTCGTTTGTTTCGTTGACGGGTGCTGAAGTAATGATTTGAATGCCTAACCCACTTGCTTCATCTTCAGCTGGAGAGTAGCCAACTAACATCCCCTCTGTGTATCAAAATGATCCAAGATTAGAAACTAAACTAAGAAACGTACCGAGAAACATTGTCCCGATCACCCTTCTGGGGATAGCAAAATCGTATGACAGTTTGGAGTTACTGGCGGAATAGCCTCAACCGACAAAGGCCTTAAGGTGGCTCAAAACGGTTCACAGCACATTTCAACAAGGTATGTACAGCTCGAAACCCCAGGTACGGAATCTTTTTAAAATTTGCCAAAAGTTGCACCTTATCCTGCTTATTAAAATTCGATACCAAAAGAAGGTGTCACTGTGCCGTTTTTGAAATACATAGAGATGACATGAAGGGTGTCTTTTAGCAGGTCATGCTGTTGCTACAGTATGGTAACCCATTGTGTCACGAAAATGATACCAACATTTTCACCAATGATTGGACAGTTTTTAGATACCATGATTGTAGCATCAACTGATAGAGAGTGGTAATGATGACTGATCAAAAATCAACGTCTTGGAATGTGCTGGAAACTCTTTTGAGCTACCTTAAGATCTCGTGTTTGGCATTCTGTCGTAAAATGACAACACCATTGAATTCACTCAAGTTGACGGCTAATTCTCGAGACTCTTTTAAGTCTTTATTATATGGCTTGTGTTTGTAGCCAATATAACGCGCGCTCTGATTGGCTTATTGGCTTGGCATTATTCTCCCGTAATAACCACAGGCCAATTACAGGCCTGCAAAAGCAAAGCAAAAAGCCGTATAATAACCAACTTATTAACCTCAAACTTTCGGTCTTTACGGGAAAATCTCAAACCTCGGCCTCGTCGTATTGGCCTCGGAAGGTTTCGGTTTGAGATTTTCCTTCAAACACGTCACTCTCTTTTAAAACGTGGTTATTGTTAGAAAATAGCATAAAAGTAAGCGCGCTGACTGGTTTAAAATCGCGTTTCTATTAAACAATTAGATTATGAGCTCGAGATTAATATCGCGTGAATAACGCATAGAAATTGAGAGCGAGTAATCTAATTGTTTTAGTATAAATCTACTAGTCGTTCAAAACTTTATCTAAATCCTCTTCACAAACACTTCGAAAACGCCAGGAAACGGCCGTCATTTTTATAACAAGGGCACAATGTTACGCTACGTAGCCAGTCAGAGAACGGCATTCATGATAGAACGCTAGTAGATTTATACTGTTTTACTAAGGGCCCGTCCACACGTATCCGGATATTTTTGAATCCGCAACTTTTTCTCTCCGGATAGGGCTTCCGTCCACACGTATCCGACGAATTCGGCAGCGAATCCGGATATTTTTTAGTCCGCTCTCCAGAGTGGAAAATTAAATCCGCAACGAATCCGATAACGTGTGGACGGCGAATCCGGATATTTTCGAATCCGATGACGTAGCAAAATCGTGTGCAGTCTCTTACCGAACAATAAACCAATATGGCGGCACAACGTGTAGGCCTAGTTTCTCTAGAGTGAATCTGGATACCATCGGATGCGTGTGGACAGGCGAATTCGATTTGAATACGCTACGCGTGGACGGGGAAATTTTTGAATCCGGAACGAAAAAGTTGCGGATTCAAGAATATCCGGATACGTGTGGACGGGCCTAAAACTCGATAGAAACACGGAACTAACACGGGCTGTTGACGTAATGATGGCGCGAGCAAAGAGAATATCCACTTTGATGATCAAAGTAAACAAGTTGTTTTCCTGTTCTCCGTATTTCTATCGAGTTATAGAAACACTCGTGGAAGTTTGGAAGAACTCTAAAAAGCTTTGGAAACACTCGCCTGTCGGCTCGTGTTCCCACAGCATTTCTCGTTCTCCCAAACTTCCACTCGTGTTTCTATTAAGGTCATTCCTCACATTTGCGTTGCGCATCCTTACTGCGCATAATTTATGGCGTCATTAGCGCGCGCTCGTGCACGCGCAAAAAAAAAATGAGCAAGGCCAATATCCAGCCATCTTGACCTCACGCTTGTCACGAATATCGTTCATTATACCAAGGAGAGGTTCGTTAAATCGAGGTTCCACTGCACTAGTATAGCTGCTTGCGGTAGTTCGACCACACGATGGTATGGACGAAGTTCACAAAAACGCGCGAAAGATCTTTCTGGTGCCCAGTCTACGCGAGTAATGACGAAAGAACTATTTTTGCCGCCTTCCACTTCTTTCCATGCGGCGTGTTGTATTTATGACATAGTGGGTTCGATTTTTATTCACCCAAAACGTGAAGTAAAAGCTGTTTTTGCAACATCGCTTGAAATTATTTCGTTTTCGACGTTAATTAACTTTACACCACAAGGAAATTGTTTTTAGGTGTTCAATGTTTTGTTTAGTGACGCGAATGGAACATACTCTTTAATTCAGCAATAGATCACAAGTTTTTATGGTTTACAGGCTGATAAACCACGCGGGATGTTGGAAGAACACTCGAAGAATTCGTAAATCACAAGCCACAGGCGAGTGATTTACGAATTCTTCGAGTGTTCTCCCAACATTCCAAGTGGTTTATCATGCCTGTAAACCATAGAAACTTGTGGTCTATTACTTTTGTATCATAATTCAGAAGACATGCGAAATTTCCATGAGTTTACAGGCACAAAAAACCTTAGCTGATTGACCAATCAGAGTGGGCGCATTCATTTAATTATTATACAATTAGAAAGATTAAGCAATTTAATGCATTGATCACTGACGCTGCAAATCCGTTAATTAAGATTCCTACCGGGGTGTTTAGCGCTTTACTGTTGACAGAAATAGAAATACATCTCACCTCTAGTTTATGAAGAGTAAATTTGTCACAGTTTGCGGTTCAAAACAAATATTCTGGTATCGCTCAAACCGTGGATTATCGCAAGCTGCGGACAACTGAAGGAATTCTCGAAGTATTTTGATGCGTTTGAACGAAATCTGTTCGAGACAATTCCATAGATGGTCGAAACTATTTTAATTGATCCACCTCAAATCAACATTGACCAGATGAATAGACACCTTGCAGTGAGACAGAAAGAAAGAATGCGAGCGAAAATTCGCTTAAAAATCGATTGCGATTTAAGCGCACAATCCAAAATGCATAAAATGTCTATCACATAGCACTCGTGTTCTTTTTCACGAATTTTCGGTTCAAGATGAGCCTTCCTCTCGAGAAAGATGTTTTTTATTCGAAAAGAAGAAAATAACTTCTCAATGCGTTTGACATACCGGAAGAGGTTGTGACACTTCACTTTCCAGTTTTAAAAGATGGCAGTTTTCTCACAATAGTGCGGACAGCTGTCCGGCGCGGCCACTGCGACAAGTTTTCTTTTTTTTCTTTCACAAGTAGTCACGTTTATCTCTCATTGCACGTTCACCGTGCGCTGTTTGAAAGTTTGTAAGACGCACGCGAGGACGTTCAAAGAAAACCGCGCGCTAAATTATGATTTTTGGCTAAAAAAAATAGGCGGCCACAGGCAGTCTCGCATAGGTACAGATTCTATAGCTGTCACGTGCGCCAAATGCAAGGATTTCGAAAGGGTTCTACAGTTTCGGAAGCTTTGATAGACAAAAAAAATTCATCATTGTTTTCATTGTGAAAACGATTTTCTCAGGTTAGAAGGCACACCGGAAAGAATCTTCCAGGACGATGTTTTCCTATTCATAGTAGATTGAACTTTCTCAAGTCTATTTTTTCTGCCAGCTTAGCCTGTCTAAGATCTTATTACGTAAAGTCTTTTGTCCTAAAATGAGCGCCGAATAAAAAAGCCGCAGTCCAACTGGGCAGTAATGTAGGCGTTGCTTTATTTCAGCCACCGGCAAAGAACGCGATTTCCGGTGGGGAAAACCTGTCTTTTGTGAAAGGCTTTCACAATTTTGGCATTTCTTCGTTTTGGTCCGTTTTGATCACGGACGTGAGAACTTGAAACATTTTCATCTGCTTCACTGTCTCGAATACCCATTTTTCATTATCAATTGTAAATACTTTTTTAAGGATCCGGTGTGGATATCATCAACGCAAGATTTCTCTCATCAAGGGCACATGTATTTCAGGCACTGAAAAGAACACATCGAGATCTAAAGTGCTTTTTTCACACATCTAACGCTATTCAAACGTCAGAATGGGAGAGTTCAGAAATTTCATCCGTGAACTAGTCGAATTTTACACCGGAACAGCTCAAGCATGTTTTCTGTTTTCAGAAAATAGCGGTCTCTTTGTGAGCTCCTGTCTGGCGCGTTATTACGAAAACACTACATCGGAAAGCCACCTATTCCATTCCCTTCAAATGTAAACAAACCGCGTAGAGGTTCCTATTTGTTCAACATAGATTAATCGCCCCAGTCAATCTCTATTTTAAGAACATAAGTTACTTTCAGTTTAATACTTTGAATTCGAAGTATTCCAGTATCGCGAAGATTAATTCTCGTCGCGCGCCGGCGGCAGACAGTTCCACGTGCTCGTCACGGGCCTCTCGGATATCCAATGGAATTTCGCTTGTCTAACGAGAGGAAAACTCGGCTACCTCGATTGAGATATCGGCGCAAAGCCTTCAGCTGGGATTTCCTCACTGGTTATGCTGCTAATAAACTATTTGCACCGTTGTAATCTTGCAAGGTTCCAAAACAAGCTAGGGGCTGTTACTTTTCAATCCGTAATTATCCTCATATAAACTAGTATCTAAAGGAAAGATCTATAGCCTATTAAAACGGCTAATAAAAAACACATTGGAGAGTCCTGCACAAGTGTGACATAATGCGCTTTTGAACCGTTTTTCTGCGAATACTTGCAGCGTAATACACAGTCTTTGAGTCGTTTCTCGTCGCAAATGAAGGACTGCCTCACACGCATGTTGCAATGAAATTATTGCAAGCGTTGAAACCTAAGCTCTACTACAGAGTGTTTGGAAACTTACCGCATCCATTACCAGTAACATGAAGACAGCGCCCAGCCAGATTCCACTCTTGAGGATTGCACTAAACGCCATGATCGACTCGAACACTGTAGACAAAACACCTTCAAACTCGAGCCACTTTCAATCGATGGCCGATCTTGAAAGTCTCACTGTGCGTCAGCGAGCAATCCTGCGGATATTACAGATGTTAATACGTTACTAGGTGCGATAACTGGCGTCACCGCGCGTTGTGTGTACAGCGGAAATTGTCGTGAGCTACGCCTCTACAACATAATATTTATAGCGTGATTGTCTGCCAGGCTAGGGTGCAGTGTTATTGTTTGAGAAAAAGGCTTGATTGTGTCTGGCGCGCAAAAGCACTGAGCGGGACTAAGTGTATAAAGTAGCAGCCTGCTTAGTTTTTGAAAAAACCAAAAACCCCTAACGCAAACTTATACTCCAGAAGTACTTTGTTCGAATGCTCCAAATGCCAGCGGATCGCACCAAATATCAAAGCAAATCAAGCTGGTGCGCTGGTATAGTTTATAAACATATATAACATAGCGGAATCCAAGATTTGGACTCCGATATCTACAGCGAGGGGTATGCTTTCTATTGATAAAAAAACATCGCGATAAATGGCCGACATAAAGGTCAAGCGAGGGATAGTAAGTATGACAGTCGGAGGCCAACCATTTCCGTTTTAGCTGACAAACGAATGACGAGCTGGGAGATTTACCAGTGTAGTAGTCTTCTATCCACGAGAAGTCCTCTCTATGGTCCCGCTCGATTCGGACTAAACGAAAGAAGGACTTCTCGTAATCTAGCTGGGAGAAAGCTCTTTTAACAAACTGGAAAATACTCCTCGAATTTCGGAGACTAGTGTGTCGCGAATTTGATCTGTATTTTGAACATGATTGTAGCTGTAGTTTGTGCTTGACCGAATACGTACGTACAGCAATGTGGCCCCATCGAATACAAGATATTTGTAAAACTTTCAGGGTGACACAACAGACGTTAACCTTTTAGTAACCAGTGTTGAGAGCTATATAAAACAAACAAACAGTAATTAATCTGTAAAGAGTTCTTTAACCAAAAAATCTATACGGGC